GAGGTAGGTTCTTTACTCAGAGAGTGGTAGGGGCGTGGAATGCATTGCCGGAGAGGGTAGTGGAATCAGCCTCATTACGGGCATTTAAGCGGCTATTAGATAGGCATATGGATGATAGTATAAGGTAGCGGTGGAGGTTAGATAGACCTTAGGTTTAGGATAAAAGTTCAGCACAACATCGTGGGCCGAAGGGCCTGTATTGTGCTGTACTGATCTATGTTCTATGTAAAGTATTCCATTCCAGTTCATTTGCCTTGAACAGCCTAGACAGAAATATTCTATCATGAAACTTTCAGAAACGCCTCCTTCAGATTGAAAGAACTGTTGCAGAAGCTTAAAGGTTTTCAAAATTACAACGGACTAAATGAAAATGAAATTTGTAATCAATGAAAACAAGCAAGCACATACCAAGGATAACCAGACAAAGAATGAAGACTGAAGTGACAAGAAGTCTGGTCCCTCCCCCACAAGCGGTAATTCAAGCACAGAATACTTTTCCAAAGTGAGCTAAACAGTCTTTGCTACTGAGAACATGATGCATCTACTGGGGCATTCCATCACAAATGTGACAGACAACTTTGCAGACAGGCAATCTAATCTGCACTAATGCACGACCTTATCAGCCTAATGGCCTTTGCTCATATTTCGACATTTGTGAAACTTCAAGGTATCTGCTATTAATCCATAATCTGTATATAATGAGGGTTTCTGGTAATGTAGGATTCTTTGGTTTTCTGATTCAGGATTCATACCCCACATATTTGTAAAGATCCATGTCTAGACTCTCAAATTGGACAGGTTTAGGTGAAATAATATCAAAGCATGGCCAGTTAGTGGGAGAACTCTAATTTCAGAGTCTGAAGTCCCCAACCAGAGATTTACGAACATAATGTTAACTAATACTCCAGTATAAAACTGACAGGGTGTTGCACCGTTGGACGTGCAGTCTTTCAGTCAAGACATTAAACCATCTGCTCTCTCAGGTGAAGATCACACAACACTATCCAAAGAACAGCAGGGAGTTCTCCCACATGTCTTTATCCCTGAACCAACGATTAAAAAGCCCAGAATATTAACTATCTCATTCTGTTTGTCAGAGCTTGATGTGCATAAATTGCTTTCCATGTTTCCTATATGACAATAGCAATTATGCTATAAAAGTACTCTATTGGCTGTAAAATGCTGTGCAACATTCTGAGCTGCTATATAAATGCAAACGCTATTCTTCAGTAGGCTCAGGAAGAACAAAATCACCTGTGCTACAAAGAATGTCCACTGTCAAGGGTGATTAGCCCAGCAGACACGAGAATCACAGTTTGAAAATTCTTGGATACTAATGTAAATTGTATTCAAAGTGTTTGGGCAATACTTCAAGTGAACACCTTCAAAAAAAAGAAAAACTTTTTCGCATGGGGCAATGGAAGTTTCCATGTAAGGTGCAGCCCAGCTGTACCCTGTGCACTACAACAGCATGGTGCCATCAGAACATAGGGTGGGCGTGTGATTTACGATGCCTGAAACATCAAGCTTTTGGTCTTGGCTGCATCTTGGTATGAGATTTTTGCACTTACAGCGACACCTTTCAATTCCAATCTAATCTAATAATATTTTTTTTAGTCTGAGCAGATTCGGTGCACAGTTGTTACTTCCCACAGAGGAATCAACTGGGTGAGTGATAAGTGGCAAAGGAAGGAGAATTTGAGGTGAAAATTATTTTCCACATGGCAAGTAAGCATTCTTAGAAGTAATTCATAGGGCAGTTCTGTCCGTAACGCCTGACTTATGAGGGTTCCAAATAAGCATGTGAAGGTCAGTGGAAGCCCTATGAAGTCATTAATCCTAAATAACTTTTTGCCAAGTTGTAACTGGATCTCATGCAGTGGAACAGTGATGATCACTTGTTTACACCCACACTGAATGGCAGCTGATTGCAAACCACGGGCACTTTTAATAAACACATTCTATAAAAGTGCAGTTGACATCAAGTGCACAAGGTTCTTTCCTCACTGTCATTCATGCTCCACGTTGATAACTATCGCCCTTGTTCTTCTCCCCATTGCCATCACTGTCCACATAGGCAACTCTACACACATAATATGCCCGCACCATCCCTCCCCCAACATCACACACAACACACCCCAGCTTCAACTCCCACCCTCCTCCCCTCAAGTCACTGTCACATGGACCTAGCAAATGCTTGGCCCGTCTACGCTCAATTTTCTGCAACCCAATTCTACACAACCACTGCCAACATATACAGCTTTCTGTCATAGCTCAGCTCCTTCCTCCTCCCCCGCACAGTTAACACAGCACAGCAGCCAATAACAAAAACAAAGTTGCTAGAAAAACTCAGCAGGTCTGGCAGCATCTGTGAAGGAAAAAACAGAGTTAACGTTTCGGATCCGGTGACGGAAACGTTAACTCTTTTCCTTCACAGATGCTGCCAGACCTGCTGAGCTTTTCCGGCAACTTTGTTTTTGTTCCTGATTTACAGCATCCGCAGTTCTTTCAGTTTTTATTACAGCAGCCAATAACCAAAACTAAACAGAATTCAGTTCAGCTGCAAATAGCTTCGTTACTGACTGTCTAGACCCAGGTATAAAGAACAATTCATTCGGTCAAAGTCGCAAGACAGTGAGCAGAGGCAATTATACATAAGCATTGATCATTGAACCAAGTGTTATAGGAAAAGAAGGGAAAGTGGAGTTGAGCATTACCAGAACAGCCATGATCTGATTGAACAGTGGAGCTCTATGGGTTGAATGACCTACTTCTGTTCCCATGTCTTATAGTCTTATGGTGTAGCTGGGGGTCAGGAGCAAATCACCCAAAGGACAGTCTCATATTGCCAATATTATCCGATACAATGACTGAACTGGTCACAGTCAGTACACCAACATCGAAGGCCAGGAATAAAATAAGTTCAATATTTTGGTTGTTCCACTTTTCAAAAAAAAAAGTCACTTTCTGCTCACAGTATCAATCCAGTAAGATCATAATTCCTTAAAGTTCCTTGCTGCACCCGGGGTCATCTGGAATACACGGACCTTCTCCCTTCATCAATAGACAGGGCTCCACTATCCCTGGTTCACCTCCTCAAAAAGTTACACTATGACTAAACTGCTTCCCTTTTTCAGAGCTGGGGTTTTCTCCTGTCATTTCTATTTTGTGGGTGTACGTAAAATTGGAGTTTCCTGTTTGCCTTTAGTTCTGGATTCAGATGCTTGTACCCTCTCTCCCCCTCTTCTTACTCTCGATGTAGTTATAGTTCATTACTGAGAAGACTATTTGAAGGTTGCTGGACACCAGCTTATTAGAAAAAAGAAATTAAAGGAAGGTAACCAAGAAGAAACAACTAGGAGGCTCTTGAGCTTGTGTTTGAACACGTTGCAGAACAAAGGGGCAACTTGGGGCAATAAAAGAGTTCAACAGTTTAAAAAGAACGAATGAAAGAAAGAAGGAGCAGCACAGCTCAAAAACATCATGACAGTAAAGTTAACGGAGCAAAGGCAATATCAAAGAAAAAACAAATTAGCGAGTGATTTGCTTATTCAATGCAAAGCCAGAATTCAGCAACCAGTACTGGGTCTTCTTCCACTGAACTCTAAGCAGCGAAGGGAGAAAGAGGAGGAGGCTGGAGGTGAGAGAGAGAAAATGACTTGTCTACCAATGAAGGTTTATGATGTTCTCAGGAAATAGGATGTGCTGTGAAATGGGAGCAATTCAGTCAGCAAGCATACTCATAAGCATTGCAAGCTGTCCCATAAAAGAAAACCAAGTACAACCAGCATAAACAAACAACTGAGTCACTCAGATGGGAACTGCTACCTGATCCAAGGTATCATTTCTAGACCCATCTGTTTCTTAGTCAGCAGTTGTTGGGGTGGGGGTATTTAGGGAAGAGAGGGACAACTGTGCAGCTAACTCAAACTGTTCTGGAACACAGTGGCATTCCACCATTCCCCATCCACAGAGAGCAAAGCCCGGTGCTGGACCTGTATCAGGTTAATGCCACAATTTGTTCTTAGCACATCTCACACCACAGACCACTGAGTCACTCAGTCAAACCATTCAAAAACATAGAATACTGCTCTCCTAGTGGAGTACATAGGTTCCACCTTTTGAATGCGATGTTAAACCGAACACTCGTCTTCCTTATCAGGTGGATGGAAAAGATGCACGAGTGTTGTTTTGAAATAGAATGGGAAGTTTCCTCCATTGTTGTTCTTCAACCAACATTGCAAAAATCTATGATTTGATCACTTTTTTTTTAATATTTGGGATCTTTCTGAGCAGAAACTGGCTGAGGAATTTCCACTACAAAATACAGGCTTGTGAAGTGATTTGGAAGATCCTGGAGTTGTGAAATGAGCTAAATGCTGAAAGACTGAGTCTTTGAGAGGTCACAGATTTCCCAACACCCAAACCTGTAATTCACTGGACAGCCTGCCACAGCGATACCGTGGATCAGTGGTTAGCACTGCCGCCTTACAGCGCCAGGGACCTGGGTTCGATTCCACCCTCAGGCGACTGTCTGTGTGGAGATTGCATGTTCTCCCCGTCTCTGCATAGGTTTCCGCCGGATGCTCCAGATTCCTCCCACAGTCCAAAGATGTGCAAGTCAGGTTGATTAGCCATGGTAAATTGCCCATAGTGTTCAGGGATGTGTAGAATAGCTGTGTTAGCCATGCAAAATGCAGGGTTACAGGAAAAGGGCAGGGCGATGGATCTGGGTGGGATGCTGTTTTGTGGGTCAGTGTGGACTTGTTAGGCCGAAGGGCCTGTTTCTACACTGTAGGGATTCTATGATTCACATCTCAAAGTGGAGGGCCAGAGTCAGGCTCAATTCCAACTCCATTTACAGTGGGACAGTCTTATGATTCTCATTCTGCACATCTCACAGTGAAGAAACGATATGCCTGGGCAGAACTCGAAAAATCCTACCCTGGGCTCGGGAAGGAATGAAATGTTTGGACTGAGAAAACAAACGGTGTTCTCACCTGAATGACTGCACTGAACCAGCAGGTGTTTCCTACATTCTTCAACCCAACAGGACAGCTCTCCTGTCGCTTTCGATCGTATGGATTTATCGAGTCACTCCATACCTCCCCTTGTGTCCTTTTCAAGCTCGCCTTGTTTTCTGCGATGCTGGCTTCTAGTACTCTTAGCGACAATAAAAATAAAACATGTGTTATAAGCTAAAACTGTCCAGAACATCAAGCTAGAAATGATCCTCATCAACTGACAAGAAGCATAAAGGTCCCATTTTCACTGTTCAAGTCTGCCACTTTCATTCTGATTGTTAATTAAAATTTCCAAGTCTCGTCTGCTCTTCCAAACTCAAGCGGTGTCCAGGTACAGCATTTCATGTGTGTAAAGACCAAGGCAAATACTGGCAGTGAGAGTATTTTCGGGTAATTGACTTGAGGTATTGCACAAGAAGCCTATTGCATATCAAAGCGGGTTGAGTTAAATATTTTTCTATTGCATTAGTGTTAATGTACTAATGTAATCCAAGGCAGAGACATCATTCCCATTGTTTCGCAAAAATATGATCAATACACAACAGTTTTAACACAAATAATTAAAAATCAGTTCTTTGCATTAAAAAAAATTCAGTATCACCAGTCAGGCCACTTTCTGTAGTAATGACAGTACCTTTCACCTGAGTACCATTCACCTAGTTATTGAGTTGTGGGGATCTACAACAGATTTCAATGTTGAGCTACGAATAGAAATAGGTCAATAAATACCGAAGCTCAAAAAGAAATTCTGGAAAAACTCAGCAGCATCTGTGGCGAGAAAGCAGAGTTATGTTTTAGGTCCAATGATCCTACTTCAGAACTGACTGTAGTTAGGAAAAGATTGGTATATATGCTGAAGACAGGATGTTGGGCGGTAACACGATAGGTGGAGATGGAGCCCAGACAGACAGAACAATTGGACAGACTAAAGAATGGGTAAATGTCAGCCTAGACAAATCAATAGCTGCAAATGACGACTATTGGTAGCTGGCAACGGGTTGTTTGCGATAGCTGGCAGCTCTACTGTCATTACTACAGGAGCTGACATTAGCTGCCAGAAATCTTTGGGACAGGAGCAACAGAGGAAATATACTGGTTAAAAAAAAAACACAAGCTTCAGGTGGACTGAAACAGGGAACAAGATTGGCAACCTGTGCCCTTCAGAAACCATCCAATCATCCCTCGTGCCGAGTAAGAAGCATCACCTTCCCTAGCAGGTCATGTGGGTGAGTGAGTGGATGGATGGCTAGATGAGTGGGTCAGGAAGAAGAGCTATAAGTGAGTGAGTATGGGGGCAGGGGAGGCTTGGGAAATGAGCTGCTGAATGTGCAAGTGAATTACTCACCTCACACGGACCCTTACAGCCAGCAAAGGAAGCAGACTTCTAGCCCATTACTCTGTGCTGGATTCAAATGCAAATCTCGTTAGTGAAAACAGAGTTTGTACCAACTGACTAAAGAGAAATTCATAATTCACTGGTTCCACGTGCATCAACAATGTACAGGACTTTTGAGATTAGTTTTCTCCTAATTTCTTTCCTCTCCCTTCGTGAAACATGGACTAACACTGGGGGACTATCTCTCAAGCATCAAGAGCTTTGCAACACCTCAGCCAAGTAGATGCTTTACATGTGGATGAACAGGTGTTCCCAACAGCTGTTGAACCACGCAGTCATCACAACTGAGCTTGACAGTCATAGGCATATATATTACATAGTCAAGAGCTGAGCCAGTCGCTGGAATCTTTCTCATTAGCCTATCAGTGTCAACTGTGACTCAATAACTAGCACTCTTGAATCAGAAAATCGGGGATTCATGTTCTACTCTAGAGACTGGAACATAAAACATAGGTTGACACTTCCAATGCAGTACTGAGCGAGTGTTCCAGTTTCAGAAGGGGCTGCCTTTCAGATGAGAGATTAAATCCATAAAAGATCTCATAAGAGCAGGATCCCCCAACAGTGTCCTGACCAATACTTATCCTCCACTCAATATTCCTAACAAAAAAAAAATCAACTGTTCTTGGTAATGTTGCTGCCTGTGAAATCTTGCTATATACAAATTGGCTGATTTTCCTATATTACACTTTAAAAGGACTTAATTGGTGTAAAGTACTCTGCCGTGTGTTGAGGATGTGAAAGGCACTATATAAAATTAAGAACTTCTTTTCACACCTCTAAAGATGAGTTAACTAGGACTGAAAAGAAGATTGTTCTATCTTTCATAGCTCTTCTTGGCTAAACTGAACCAACAAGCTCATCTCTTTAATTGAAATACATGAAAAGGAGGATGTCAAAACTTCAAAAGTCACAGAGGCAGAGGATCTGGGTGCGTTGTGAAGTTGGTGCATTCTGGCTGAAAACCATTTCCAGTTATTCAGTATGATCAAGCTTTTAACAGAGAATGCGATATCCAAAACTTGCAGTGCAACAAATCATCAAGGCCTCTTAGACAGCACTTTCTAAATCCTTTACCTCTACCTCTAGAAGAACACAGACACCTTCAAGTTCCTATGCCAGCCACACACCATCCTAACTTAGAATTATATGACAATTTGTTCAGTATCACTGGGTCAAAACCCTGGAGCTTGCTCCCTAACAGCACTGTGGCAGTCCCTGTGCTCCGAGTGGTTTAAGAAGGCAGCTCACCATCATCATCTCCAGGGCAATTAGGAATGGGCAATAAATACTGGCCTAGGATGTGACACCCATTTCCTGTGAATTAAATTTTAAGAAAAGAAAATTATGAGGAGAATCACAGCTGAGAATTATTCCACATACAATGAGGCTCAATGACAAAAACTCGGGACAAGGGAAAACACAGAAACAGAAGAAAAAAAGAAACTGAAAGAAGAACAAGCCTGAAGGAATCAAAACCGAAACTAAAAAGTGAAACTGCACATGAAATGGGGCAGAATGCAATCCCCGTCATAATTCACAAGCTCATCAGATACCGGAGCCCTGTCAGTGGAATATAAATAGGCATTTTAAGTACATGCCTGTTACATATGCTATTTAAAATGGAATGGTGCAGAAAAGGCTCAAATGTGTGAATGAAGTGTTACTTCAATGGCACTTCAGCAGCTTTCAAAGGTCACAAAGAAGCTACTGTGAGGAAAAATACAGACTATGACAGATTATTCTTATTTTACCATCAAAGCTTTGTCGACTGAATTGGGGAAAAACAGAAAAGAAGCAAAACCATAAAACATTTCAGTGGGCACAATTTCCTCACAAATTGATGAGTTTGAATCAATTTTAATTTGATCCATCAGTTTCAGATTTTTGTTTCCTTTAACTATTACATTCAATCCTCTCAGTCGCTGGGGTTCACTCCAGGAGCTGCTTAGGACAATGTCTAAGGGGAAAACATCTTCAGCTCATTCATCAATGACCTTCCCTTCTGCAGAAGGTAAGGGGATGTTTGCTGACGATCAGTTATGGGTTTTGCCTGGACTACCCAGTTCCTGACCTCATCACAACCTTGGTACAAACATGGAGCAAAGAGCTGAACTTCACAGGTGACATGCGAGTGGCTGCCTTTGACATCAAGGCAACATTTGAACTAGTTTGGCATTAAGGAGCCCCAGGAAAAATGGAGTCTATGGGAATTGACAGGGGCAGGCAGCTTGCTGGTAGGAGTCATTCCTAGCACACAGGAAATTGGCTGCAGTTGCTGGAGGCCGGTCAGTTCAGTCCTAATAAATTACTTAATGAGCTCCTCAGGGTAGCATCCTAGGCTCAACTATCTTTAGCTGCTTTATCAATGATCTTCTTACCGTAACATCAGATGTGGAAATGTTTGCTGATGATTGCATGTTGTTCAGCCCCATTTACAACTCCCCAAATACTGAAAGTAGTCCGGGCCCAGATGGAGCAATATCCAGGTTTGGGCTGACAAGTGGCAAGTAACATTACCAACACACAATGACCATCTTCAACATGAGAGAATCTAACCATCGCCCCTTGATATCAATGGTATTACCAATGCAAATCCTGGGGTTCAGTACTGGCCAGAAACAGAACTGAATTTCCCATATAAATACTGTGGCTACAAGAACAGGTCAAAGGCTGGGGATTCTTCAGCAAGTAACTCACCTGCTGACTCTCCAGAGCCCATCCACTATCTACAAACACACAAGTCAGGAATGTTATGGAATACTTCCCCACTTGCCTGGATGAGTCCAGCTCCAACAATACTCAAGAAGCTTGACACCATCCAGAATAGCATGGCTTGCTTGATTAGCAATAAACATTCATTCCCTCCACCATCAACGCACTCAGTAGTATCAACATATAACATCTACAAGTATGTTGCCGATTCCACAGTGAATCTGTTTTTCACCCTTATAGGAAGTTGAACCAATATCATTACAACTGTGATGAACCATGGTTTTTTTTTGGAGAAAATACTTATGTGAAGTGATGCTCCCCTTAATAGGGGAGGCAATGGCCTAGTGGTATTATCATCAGAATATTAATCCTGAAACTCAGCTAATACTCTGGGAACCCAGGTTCAAATCCTACCATAGCAGATGGTGAAATCAGAACTCAATAAAAAGAATCTGGAATTAGGGGTCAAATGATGACCAGGAAACTATTGCTGATTGCGAAAAAAACCTATCTGGACTTACTAAGCTTTTTAGGGAAGGAAATCTGTCATCCTTACCTGGTCTTGCCTACATGTGACTCCAGACACACAGCAATATGGTTGACTCTTAACTGCCCTCTGGGCAATTATGTATGGGCAATAAATGCCAGCCCAGCCAGAGATGACCACATTCCTGGAGTGAATACAAAAATAGAACTAAATATCGCTGAAATAGGATTTCTGATATTAAAAAACAAGCAACTGGCTTCAGCAATTGATTATATGGCCAAGTTGTCAAGAAGATAAACAAGAGAAAAGGGGTCAAGAATTATAGGAGTATGAAGATTATGGGTGTAGTCGTTACAAGAGGAGTTTTTGTTTTGTTTTTTAGCTTTAATCAAGTTGCCTGCAGGACAGAAACAAACTTCTACCTTAGCTAAAAGAGTTCAAAACACAGGTTAACAGAAGGTCATCTAACAGTTCGTTGAACTTCTGGTATAGCCAAGATGCATGTTAGAAAGAGAGAGAGTATGTGTGCGTGGCTCGCATG